CTTATGTACTTTTGAAAATGGAAGGAATAAAGTAAAGTCCTTTTATTTTTATCTTGTTTCTTGTCCAAACGATGAATTAATTTTATCATTTGAAAGTTAATCAAATACTTCAAATGCTAGTGTCGGAATGAACAGGAGACGTCCTCTTCAAGAGCACCGTAAACATAAGAGGGCCCTCTCTTATGAAACCCTCAGAGAAAAGGGTTGATTCCGGAAGAATTTATGCCCGGAATCCAAATTCCATCGGGAAAAGTACACTCGAAGCCTTGCATAACTCTACGCAAAAAAAATTGTACAATGCTTAAATGAAAAAGCACTTTTATATATAACAAACGTGCCAAGCAGCACAAGTACAAAAGTATGAAAAAGAAAAGAAAAGTGAAAAGAAAAGCAAAAAACTAAGCTACTGCATCCTCGGAACTTGGGGGAAGAGAAGCATCTGCGCCCCCAGGAGAAGTAGGAAGATCTACCGCCGGCTCTGGACCTTGGCCTTCATCTTCATCCCCTTCAAGTTCCTCCTCAGTTCTCGAGAATACAGAACCGGAACTAGAAGAGTCAGATGCATCAGGCTAAATCGGGAGGCCCCTTCGGGCAGCTTTCTCCAGCTCATGAGCCTTGGCGATCTCGGCATCGAAATCAATGATGCCCACTTTGGCCTCTTCCAAGGTTTTTCTCCTCATGCTATACATCGAATATGTTTTTTCAACAATGAGGGAAGCTGCTTGGCGCTGAAGCTCTTCCTTAAGCTGGTCAACCTCGGTCGAAAGGTTATTCCGCTCAGATCTAGCGGCCTGAAGGATGACATCAAGGTCACGGATAGTGGAGTTATAAATTTTATTGTGATCCATGACCTTCTTATACTTTTCATCCATCCGGGCATGCTTCTCTTCAGCAGTAGCAGCCTCTTCATCTTTGGAGTTCAAGGCTGCCTCCAAATTATTTAGTCTTTCAGTAGAGGCAACCTCGCGTAGCAAGAATAGCATTTTGGACCTCAGACCACTTAGCCTTGGCCTATTGAAATTGTACCCTTAATAAGGCGGACTCTTGGCTGAGGGTCATCACATCTTGTTCGCTCTGCTGCAATCGAGCCTCCAACTCAATAGCTTCGACAGCCTGTGCTTCCAGTGCCGGGAGGCAAACAGCAATTTGCTCCTGCTCGGCCAATAGTTGATCCCAATCAGATGTGAGTTTTTCTTTATCAAGGATCAACCTTTGAAGGACCTCGGAAGCAAAGAAGTTAGCCTACAAAGCAAAATTTCATATCATAAATCTTGTCATAGCGAAGCTAGAAAAAATAGTAAAGGGAACAAAGATCGTACCATTGCTGCGTTGTGCATGGCATTGTTTACCATACACTCTCCCGAGAGAGAATGTATTTTATTCTTATCTTTCTCGTAAGCCAAAGGCTTCAGGTAATTGGCAAGTTCCACCGGTCGGGACAGCAGATGGCACTCGGTAGAGACCGAGAGGGAGAAGCTCCTCCTCCTCTGAGGATCTGCGGAAAGGGGGCAAATAGTTATGCCCCAAATTCCTATGAACCTTGGACTGAGGAGGAGGAACATCCTCCTCTCGGATATTTGCGGCCAGTGGGGATGATGTAGAAGTTGTTGGTGGCGAAGGCATGGTTGGAAAAGAAGGATATGAAGCTGATAGCGTTGTCGGTTGAGAAGCAGCTACGACAAAAATAGTGCTAGTTATTGGTTGCTCATCAATCAAAGACGGAAGAGGTCCGGTACCCAGCCTCACAGTACCGGGAGCAATGACTGGGATTCAAAAGCGAGAGTTGGCATCTTCCACTATATCACACTCTCCCCAGAGCACATGGACGTTGTCCTCGGTTGGTGTAACTAGCTCAACAGATTGAGCATTCTGTTGAGCTGATGAAGTTCGCCGTATTCTATGTAAAGAAACCCCTTCATCACTGGCTCCCCCATCATCATCGATCTCCACAGTGTTTGTGGTTGGCTCGGGCGTGGCGCTCTTCACCTTTTTATTTTTACCCTCTGTCGTAGAGGAACGTCGCCTTTTTTGTTGCTTTTTCTCTGGATAGGGACTCCGAGAGGAAGCACCTGCACCGGAAGCAGGACCGATGACACCCGTTCGGGTGAAGGCCTCCTGCAGCAACCTGTCACATCTGCAGGATCAGCCAAAACGTCTTCCCCGGGGACAGTAACAGAGCTTTGTGGAAGACCTGGATTCAACAAAAAGAGAAGTTAACCAGTTTTCTTATACGCAAGGTAAAAACAAGATTAGTTCGAAAATCAACTTACCATGATTTTTGGCCTTTCATCCGTATTTAGGGTCCAGTTCTTTCCACTGGCGGGTCCCAGGCAAAGTAACATCCAAAATCTTCTGGACGCACTGGTCCAAGCCTTCAACCGTTGGTGGTATCATCCGAGTTGCTGAAATAATTAAAAGAGAAGGATCAGTAACAGCATGAAACAATTTTTGATCAGAGAAAAAAAGCAAACATTGAACTAACGTGTACGATTCCATGATTCAGGAAAGGATGGAGTTGTTGCCGGGATGATATCCCTGGTGGAAACTACAACAAACCGCTCCATCTATCCACGGTCGTTATCGCCATCCATCCTGGTGAGCAAAGCATGGTGACCACATTTGCTAAAGTTTATCATTCCCCACGGAAAATCTTGGGGGAATAAAGGTTCATCATTCGAGCCAGGGAGAGCTCATCCCCCGTCTCCTAGCATAATCGCCGAAGACAAGCTACCGTCTGCCATACAAAAGGGCTCACTTGTGCAAAGCGGACTTGATAGCGGAAGCAAAACTCCAAGATTACGGAGTCAAGACCCCCGCTCAATGAGAACAGACCCAAAGTGAAGGGGTACGTGTAAACGTACGTAAAACCCTTCTTGGGGAAGGCTACCCGCTCCGCTAGATCGGGAGCAATGATGTTCAAATTATGGCAACCACAGTCTTCCTTCATAACAGGAATGCTAGAAGGACAGATGGAAGAAGGGTATACACCAATATCCCATGTGCGGGAGTTAGCAGAAGGGAACTTCTCTTCAAAGTCCTTGGTTGTATTAAGCCTTTTGGGGACAATGGTGCTCACCGTAGGAGGTGCATCATCATCACTGCTTTCCTCATTTTTTGAAGAGCTAGAGTTCTTGGAAGAGGAGGCCATAGTTATCAGAAGGAAGTAAGAATTTCTTTAAAGAAGAAGGTTTAAGAAAGTTGAAAGCAAGAGAGAGATGAGTAAGAAAAGTTGAGACAGTTCAAAAAATCGTGAAGTGTAAAAGGAGAAGAATGAAGCACATAAGTAAAGGAATAGGCGGCTAAAATCGTGGCCATGATTACCTCGAGAATCGGCGAAAGTAAAGCAACCCGATAGCATTCAATGAAGAATATTCTATAGTATTAAATACATAGTCTGTTATAGAGAGTATGGCATTCATAGCCTGCCGTTACACATTCTTCAATAGCCCCCACAATTGTCATTTAAGAGGGGCTTGATCCTAGGACCTTGTTCCCTAGGTGCAACTATAAATAGTGAGTTCAACAGCCATTAGAGGGACACGAATTTTCTGACAAACTTATGCTATATACTATTCAAAAGCTCAATAACATTTCATTTCTTGCTTATTAGTATTGCTATTACTGCCTTCGGAAGCTCCGCTCCCAGAATCAGGCGATTCACTATCTTATCTCGACTTCAACGCTAAGTCTTGCATTTTATTTAATTTATGTATCATTTTAGGATCAAATCGACGTTTGTCTATAAACTACGCTACAAATTCAACGGTACGGTTTTATAGGTAAAGAACATTCCTTTCAGGAAAGTGAATTCAGCCCAATGGCCATAAGATGGAAAATTCACAGTATTAGGTGCTGGTTATGTTCTTATTAAAATGACTAGCTGCATCCCTTTTAGAGAGTGAATTCAGCTCAATGGCTACTATAACTATTTAGCACGCAAGATGCATTGGTTCAACTCCCAGTTTCTCCAGACACAAAAAAACATATGGAGGAAGTTAAGTTTAAATAAAAATAAAAACCAGGTGAAATATGCATATAGAGAAATTATACTTCTCAAAGTAAAAGAAAATTGTTAAACATAGCTGACCCTTCTATCTTTCAAATTTGAAGGTTTAAGTGGTAAAGTTTTTAATTGTTACGCCTCTATATATGACTTCTAAGAAGTTGTTCGGTCGATATCTCTTTATATTTATAAAGACGATAATCTTCTTCAAAGTGTTGTCAGAGGCACCCACATAAGTCATAACTTCTCGTGGCACGTGGCACGTGGTCACTGCTGCTAAGTATATTCTGCCTCTCGATGGTATGATAAATGAAGACTTCGAAGGAAAAATATATAGAATTGTTTGTCAAAAAAGATGCAAGATGTATTCTCTAAAATACAAAGTGAAATATAGTACACAAGAATCTTTTTTTTCTCTCTTTCAAATGGGATAACATATCATATCATAATAATTCTTAAACAATAAAACGAAAAGCAGCTGATTTCAACTCCCTCGTAGAATGTTTTACTGACTTAAACTTATATGTCCTTGAGACGAGCTTAGTTTCAGGAGCGTAAGAAAATTGCAAGATGGAGACCATATTGTTTGGCAAGTCAGATTAGCTCCTTTGCATCATATCATTTGGCCTCACCTTTTTTCTATTTGACTTTTAGATTACGAGGTAAGGNCAATGAGGTCACTTGACGAATAAGTATAATACAAATCTCTACGGTAACTATATGAAAACAGAGATTAAAAACTTAAACAATAATAGAAAATGAGAAAATTACTCGCTACTTCTGATTGAAATAAATTAAGATGGTAAAATATTTATTCTGACTATGCGTGTGTACATGCTCTCGCGTTCATTGATCGCAAAAATAAAATAAGACAAATTGAAAAGGAAAAAAAAGTTGCGGGCCGGGTGGACGCGGGTGTGCTGCGGGACAGGTGGATGCGGGTTAAAGAACATGTACATTTTCACATGACATGCATAGCATTTGTATAGTCCACACCAAACGAGAAATAGCAATGTATAATTACAATAATACAAAGTAAAGCATTTGTTAAACTGACTAATTTGGTTAATCCACAACAAGGTTGTCGAACCAAATGTAGTTAGTTAGAAATAATGAAGAAGATTTCTTGTCTGTTCTCTCCAATTCACCTTCAAGTCTATTCAATCAAGGAAAGCTAGGAACCAATGAGAAATCACTAAAATACGGTTCAACATCTAAAACAGCTATTTGCGGATTATCTTAGTTCCTAGTCCTAAAATGAAATTGAGGCATTACACACCATCCAGCTTAAGGATTGGTGTCTTCTCTGTATGAAGTTCACAGAAAAAAAAAATCTTTTGCTTTGGTCCGAAGATGGAGTAAACTAGTCCTCGTTATTCATTGTGCTTGCCATACCACTGTCATGCCACTTCGAAAATCTTTCCTCGAGAGCCTGTCGCATCCATGGGTGCCGGCAACATTGAATTGCTTCTGGAATTGTCAGCCAACTTCTTCTGCGAAGCCTCTGTTCGGGCCAGCATTCAAGCTCTTCTTTTACCAACAGCGCAAACATGGCAGCTCTACACAATCCTTCTGGACTATACTTGTCTTGAAGTGTTTTGCTTTTAAACAAGTAATACCCCAGAAAGTGCTGCAAAAATACAAATGTATAGAATCTTAACCCCAGAAAGTGCTGCAAAAATAAAAATGTATAGAATCTTATGAACACAGGAAAAAAAATGAAATAAGTAAATAAAAAACATGCACATAAAAAGACGCTTACTGAAGGTGGGTAACAAACAAGGCTCCTTATATATGATAGAAGTTTTGAACCACATCAAAAAGGGGAGTTTCTTAATTCTTGTTACCCCTCACCAGGACGGGTACTGAAGGATTCTTTCCACCAATAAGAAGAAATCACCTACCAATTTTTGCGACTATTAATATTTAAACATTGGTCTCCCGCTGTCTATCAACTTCCTTGACCATTAGGCCACACCCTTCAACACTTAAATCTTAATGAATCTCTTCTATTAAAAATCGGAATGAATTTTCTCTCGACTTTCAAGAGTGCAAAAACCACAGAACTAATATCTATGTCCACAGCCTATGAACGCCATATTATTACCCCGCACATAAAGGCGAGTTTTAGATGGGTCGAAGTAGATCAATAACATTACCCATGATCATGACTAGAGTACAATAAAGTAAGGGAAATAACAGTTATTACCCTTACCATCCATAGAAAACAAACAGTATCAAAATTAAGACTATCAATATGAACACTTCAGACCAAATGAGCTCCTTGCTAATTGACAGATTTTGTTATTAATAAGCAAAAATCTTATCAGGAACTGCAGCACCAAGAGGGTACTGGTTATACTGAAATGTTTTAAAAGTAGAATATGCTATAGCATTACTGAAAAGATTCGTCGTGTACCAAAGATCTAAATCCTGAGGACATCTAGAATTTACAAGAGATATATTAAGTTTTCCTCCCCGACCCAACTAGTTTAGCATTGAGGTTTAGTTAATTGAATACTGAATCTGCTTTATCTTTAAATCTACGACTTCCTTTTTTTCTTTTTTTTTTCTTTTTTTTTTGAAGTAAGATGTTATATTTCTGGCATCAAAACGATGCATTGAGTACACAAAATGAGATGGTAGCTCCAATATTTCATGTTTTATACTAGGCACAGGGAGCTAACCAAAAAGCAAAAAGTGGCAGTCAGACCAGGCTCAGTGAGCCAATAAAATCTAGAAAGGGCTAACATCATTTAAAGGGAAGAGATTACTCCAACTAAAAGAAGCCGCTGACATCTAGCTTTCAACAATTAGTTAGAAGTTAAAATGTCATCAAAACATCTACGATTCCTCTCCGTCCAAATACACCAAAAAATGCAAATTGGGATCATTTTCCAAATACTCTTGATGGCCTAGTTGATTTTCCAAAAGCTCCAACTTTCAACTGCTTCCCTAATGTTCCGAGGTAGTGTCCAGCTGATACCAAAAATTGACAAGAACATATGCCACAAATCAATAGCCACTAGCTACTGTGCAATGCAAAAATAAGTGGTTGATTGATTCTGAACTAGATTGACACATGTGACATCTATTCACAAGTTGAAAACTCCTTCTACAAAGGTTGTCTTGGGTCAGAATAACACCTTTGAGAGTTGTCCATGCAAAACAACTGACCTTTGTAGATTAGCTTCCAGGGCCAAAGATCAATAACTTCATTTTGAACTTTACTTGGCATAGGAAAAAGGGACATAATGTAAGTTGGGATGCTGTCCAGGACGCGTCGCCCTACCACCCATTGAGAGGTATTGCATTTGCCATGTTGCTAACCTTTTCTCCACTTTCTCGATCACTCCATTACATACCTCCACTGACTTATGTTTGGCACCCAAGATTAGACCTAGATAGGTTGTAGGGAATGAGCCAATGCCACAATCAAGTACCATACGGACAGGGTATATCATGTTTTTCAGCATGTTTATGTGCAGATCTGAAACAGATTCAAAAATAAGGAGGGTTAGATTAAGGTACTGCAGCTCCAGCTTGTTTGCCCCACAAAAGATTAGTGTATCATCTGCATATAGGAGATGAGACACTGTGATTGAGTTCCCTGAGCTGTTGTTTATCCTGAACCTTTCAATCCATTGTAGTCGCCTTGCCTTATCTAGCATTTTATGTAGACATTTGTTGGGTTTTTTAAAAGGATGGGGCAGCAAGAATATTAAAAATATTGATTGAAAATGTCTCTACTTTATTATAAAACATAGAGGGCTTTACATAACCAACTTGAGAACATAATCTGCAGAAAAATCTGCATAAGAATTCAAAAAGCCTAAAATATCTCGACAAACATAAAAAATCTAACAGAAATTTAAATTCAAAAAAGTAGATTTATCCTAAAACTAAGTAACTTATTAGGCTAAAAAATGCAACGTAACTGAAGCAAATCATCAACACTCCTCCTTTGCTTCAGTTGCTCTAAAATAATTGCTCCTCCTCAATTACTGATTATGCTGTTTGTGCTTGAGGATTGTGTTGAGCGTCTTTGAACTTACACACTTTTGTAACACGGCCTATTTGTTTGCAAATACCACATATTGCACCATGTCTCCACCAACAAAAATTTTCTAGGTGTGTTTTCTTTTTGCAGTATTTGCAAAGAGGATAATTGACCTTTTCTTTTTTGTTTTGTGCATAAAAAGCACCTTCAGTAATCATTTCTTGTCTAAATGCTCTTCTTTGTTCTTGTGCTTGAAGAGCACTTATTAATTCTGTAACAGAGATGGTAGAGAGATCTTTAGACTATTCTAGAGAGGAAATTTTGGACTCGAATCTCTCTAGAACCATCACAAGAATTTTTTCAACTATTCTGCCATCTTTGAAATCCTCGCCAAGCAACCTGATTCTATTAACAATAGAAGAAATACCATCAGAATACCTAGTGATAGTCTCGTCTTCTTGTATCCTAAGAAATTCAAAATCCCTTTTCAAATTTAAAATCTGCATTTGTCCGACTTGATCACTTCCTTGGTACTCCTTTTTAAGCTTTTCCCAAGCTTCTTTTGTTGTCTCACATTCAATAATTTTAGAAAAAATTGAATCTGCAACTGAATTTTGAACCACAAATTTGGCTTTGTATTTTTGGGTTTTCTCTTATAAATGGTTTTTAGTTTGGGCAAGGGTAGGATTTGCAGGGAGTGGTTGTAATGGTCTATCTTCCATTACAAATTCCTACAGATTATAGGCTTCAAGATATGATTTCATTTTCACTGACCAAATCTGATAGTTTTCACCAGTGAAAGTTTATGGGGCATTCAAAGAGAGACTGTTGCTTGCCATGTTTGAAAATAAATTTAAAAATTGATATTGATTAAAAATAATTTGAAAATGATTCTTTAGAAGAACTCACAAATCCCGTAATACTAATGAAGCTCTTGATACTACTGTTGGATTTTATAAAAGGATGGGGCAGTAAGAATATTAAAAATATTGATTGAAATATCTCTACTTTATTATTAAACATAGAGGGCTTTAAATAGCCAACTTGAGAACATAATCTGCAGAAAAATCTGCATAAGAAGAATTCAAAACACCTACAATATCTCAACAAACCTAAAAAATCTAACAGAAATTTAAATTCAAAAAAGTAAACTTATCCTAAAACTAAGTAACTTATTATGCTTAAAAAATGCAACAGTAACTGAAGCAAATCATCAACAACCTTCCATGACTATTAAGAAAAGAAAGGGTAAGAGGGGGCAGAGGCGGTCCTACATTAGGCCTTGAGGGGTCACGTGAACCCGTTAACCTCGGCAAAAATCCTGTATATATATTTTATGTATAGCTGTATATACTTTGGGGACCCCTTAAATATTTTTCTTGGCCCCCTTATTAACGAAAGTCTGTCTGGAACAATGGTCCACCTCTGTGCATAAGTTCTCTTCCTTTTGCTACGACTGGGGTTCGAAACCCGCCTTCTACAAATTTTTTTTTTGAGTTTCTTTTACTTCTTATAACTGGAATTATATACTAGTACAATAGTACTATTTATTAGTCACTAGTCAACAATTGACTAATTTATAATTTTTTATTTTACCTTTTCTCAATTTAATTATATTTTAATAGTTATACATAATAGTCAATTTTATTATTTAATTCTTCTCCAAAATTCTACCCCAATCAAAAGCCCCAAAACATTAAGTCCCTAAACCCTTCTTCAGTTCTTCCTCAATCAAAACTCAAAAGCTCACGTCACTCCGTCAAACTCGGCCCTCAGGCCGTCACTCCTCCCTCCAAAATAGAGAACCTTTCTTCCTCAATCTCAATTCCTCTCATTACTTTGAAAAGGTAGCGGGCATCGAATCTCTGTTTAGTGCTTCTCTTACTTTGAAACTTATTTTTTATTTATAAATTATAAGAGCATGGAGAATTGGAGATGGATGTTATATGATTTTATTTAGGTTTAAAATTTTTGGTTCAAGAATCCCCAGTAAAGGCATTCTTGGTAAACCCCAAATCTATTACCCAAATGATTTTGTTTAGGTTGAGCTTCTATTTTCTCTGAAATTTAGTGGTCTCTTAATTTTGCTGTTAAACTTTAAGACTGGCTTCTCTTTCTGTTAAAAATTTGTCAGATTCTTGTAGAGTTGTAGTATTAGTATTTAGTAAGTTTCCAATTTTCTTTTACCCACAATTTCCATATTCTGTCAATTCTGTCTTTGCTCAACGGAAATGAGAGTAAGAGTGTATGTGAAACCAATAATCTTAAGGAAACACAACTCAATCAATTAAGATGGAAAATGGAGATTTGAAATGTGATTTTCATAAGGAGAAAGCCAAAAAATTTCCAGACACTCCATGTTAGTCGATTTGTTTTTTCAATTTATGTTTAAGTTTGCCGTTCTTGCTATACAAAAAGAAGTAAATTAAGGGGTGTGATTCCTCTATTGATATTGTGTTTGTTTGTATTCTTGAGACTCTAAATTTATTGAACTCATTTTTTGTAGGAAGTTCTTGCTCTTTTGTGAATTGAGATAGACGTATTTTTGACAAAGTTTAATTCTTCTCAACCAAGTTCTAGTCTTAGAAACAATTCCTCTCATCTTATAGATGAGTTTGATGAGAAATTACTCAATCCCGACCCTGGAGAGAGAGTACCCATTGATAAATATA